AAATGCAATGCCCGTGAGGCAAATCCACACGGGAAGGTTATTTGTTCTAACACAGAGACCTCCCGGACCTGTGCCATGATCAGGGCAGGCTAAGGCTGGGAGTGGCTTATGACTTTGGGATCCAGTTGGGGTCCTGTTTCTCTCTGTCTCTTTCCCCTCTCTCAATAAACACATTTTAAAAAATAAAATCTAAGGGTCAGCATCTGGTGTGGTGGTAAAGGTGCTGATTACCACATAGTTGACCATGGTTTGAGTTCTGGCCTGTGAGTGCATGTGCCCAAAATCCCAGGAAGAGAATGAAGGAAAAGGGATTGCGGTATGGCTATCCCTCCTGGAGGATGATTTTTCACTTTTCCTCTCTCAGTCTCTTTCTGTCTCTCTCCAATGAGTGTATACACCCTAGGGAAAAAAAAAAAAGTAAATATTTAAAATTTTAAAAATAGGGGACCAGCAGATGGTATGATGGCTATGTCGCTGGACTCCATGTAGTTGATGATGGTTTGAGTCCCTGACCTGGTGGCTTAAACTCAGGCCAGGTGCCTGTGTGTGCATGCTCAAGATCTCTAGAGGAGAATGGAGGAGAAGGGATTGCGGTGTGGCCATCCCCCCTGGGGGGGTGATTTCTCACTTTCTGTCTCTCTGTCTCTCTCTGTCTTTCTGGCGAGCGCATGTGCCCTATAGCAAAAACCTCTCCAAAAAAAAATTTTTTTTAAAAAACAAAATCTTTATTTTGGAAACTGAAAACTTGAATGAACTCTTAAAAGATGGATATATACAAAGTAAGTGCAAAATTAGAATATAAAGGAAAGTATTATTTTGTTTAAAGACTCAGAAGTTTTGTCACCATCAAGTGAGTGGCGTAAGAGATGCACACATGAAATTCTAAGAAGAATGAGGGAGAGGTCAGGGCAACGAGGCGTTCCTTCGATGAAGTCAGAGTATTTCCAGGTCTGCTTTCTCTTCACAACTCACAACCCTGAGTCTTAAAGAATGAAAATTCTTGGTCCAAAACTGAGATGCAGTCAGTCGACAGGAACCTACTATTTTCCATCTTAGGGTCTTTTCTTCTGGACCACTCCCCACTCCTTAGCAAGGCCATGTGCAGCAGAGCTGCCAACTGAAATGTCTCCACCACAAGGTGACGGCATGAGGGAGCCTGCTCTGCCCAGCTGAGCTGTGGCCTGCTCCATTTCAGTAGCAGGATTCTCAATCCTGGTACAGGGCAACCTGGGCCCTGCGCTTCTAGGCAAGAAAGCCATAGATTTTACTACACAAAAATACTTCATGTTTATTTATGAGAGGGATCAAATATCTTTGAGAATAAAAGGTCCCTTACTGTGGCCAGCAGGTGGCATGATGGTTAAGGTGCTAGACTCCCATATGACTGACTGCAGTTCAAGTCCTGGACCTGGTAGCTTGCTTTCTCACTTTTTCTTTCTTTCTCTGTCTCTTTTTTGGTCAAATTAACATAATAATAATAAATTAAATATTTTTTTAAAGTTCCCACTGCTCTCCTTTTCAATCTTCTATGAGTAAAAAATAAATAAAACACTGACAGTGAATTATCTTCATACAAATCCCTTGGCAAATAGTCACTCCTTTATTTGGGCTATTGGTATCTCTCTTTCTTAGTTGTATGCTTTATCCATTTTTGCATTTCTTGTTAAATAGAGTAATCATAGCTTTTATTTTTCAAGTAATTTTTATGTTATAGGTACCAGGCAAGCCATGTTAGTGTGTCACTTAATCTTTTAATAACTTTATGTTTTAGGTACTATTAATCATATTTTAAGTAAAATCAAACTCAGAGAGATTTATAAATTACCCAAGGTCCCACCTTTAATAACTGACAGAGCAAGGACTCAAGCCCTAATCTAACTATAAAATGGAAGAGCTTGACATTCTGTTATATGTGCTACTTGCCCAATAAAATAGAAATATTATATCAAACTATATATGTTGACATATATCAAGTGATAAACTATCACTTTTTTATATTATTAATGTTATTGTTTGTGAATCAAAGAGCAGAAAGTAAAATTTTGATGGGCTTGAAAAATAAGTCTTTGAAGAATACATATAGAGACTCTATAGCTGGAGGGGGTAGCAATTGAGGTATGTATTTTTAGTTCCTCTTTTTATGCAGGAGTGATATCCACTCAGAGCAGTTAACCTAAAAGCAGGCAACTCTATTCTGGGGCTGATGGGTGAATGAGCATGCAGAGCCTATTAGTTATTAAACATTTTCAATACTATTCCTCTTCCGGGAGTATTACTGATTATGGAGTATGTTCCTCTAGAGGCATGTAAAGCATTGCCAAGTCCTTTGTGTTTGGGGTTATTGCAAAATACTAGTCTGGTAAGTAAGTTTGTCAGTCTAGCTATTTGAGTTTATAGCTAAGGATAGTGTTTTTTATTAAAAGGGAACAACTGTCCATTAATACATTAGGTCATTGAGAAGGTCACGGTGAGTTTTTCTATGAAAAACGCATCATGACTTTCCCGACCACTCAGCAGTACATGATGATGGAGAAACTGACTCTAGATTCCTCAAGATGGAAGACGAGACCGTGGATAGGACGCATCCAGACTTACTCATCGAAGCAATGGGCAGCCGTCAGGACCCACCGGTCTCCAATGATTGACCCTCCACACTGGTGGCTCCGAGCTGCCAGCTTCACTTGCAGGCTGACCTGCCAGGGCCATTCTCCCCAGGAAGAATTTGTTCCTCCAACAATACGTGCATTTGTTTTTGTTGTACAGACTGAAAAGAGAGTGTTAAAGCTAACGGTTGGTATTAGAAGTGAATCAGAATCCCAGTCAGCCAAGGAAAACAAGACATATAATGCCATTATGTAAAACTATGCACACTATCAACGCAATATAGTTAGTACCCCTTTACAGTTCATGAAAAAGTGAGGTTTACTCACCAGAGCCATCCCCAATTTTACACAATCTTAAAGAATAACCAGAAATCTTTTTTGTTTCAGATGTAATCCTAGTTGGAGAACCATCCAAAGATAATCTTAAGGAACACTTACACCTAGGTAAAATCAACAGTATAAAGATTAAACCTTCGCAGAGGCAGAAATATACAAAATGATGTTGTCGGCTGGCTTTGAGAATCAAATTCCCCTTACTTCTCTCCTTTACAGTCTTCCGGGAGTAAAGAATAAGTAAAAAACTGACAGCGAATTATTTTTGTACAAGTCTCTTGGCAAATAGTCACTCCTTTGACAAAGGTCACATTCAATTCTTCCCCTTCAAAGTCAACTCCAGAGTAAATTTTGGAATGGCAGAGTTCTGCGCCAATTACAAACATAAAAAGAAACAAAATGAGAAAAGCAATAAACCATATTTACACAAATTTCTGGTTTCTGGAAAATGGTTTCATCACTGTTACATGTAGAAAATCATAAAACTTGTTTTGTCATATTTTTTGTAAAATTATTATTGAATTACATTACCAGGCAAAGTTTTTTTGCAGGTTAAAAGGCTATATCCAGAGATGGCATTTTCTTCAGGAGTAGGGGAACTGGGTGTCCCACTTTTAGAAGTCTTAAGGAAACAAACATTTCTATTTAAAAAAAAAAGGGAGAGAAAAACAAAACTGCATTAAAGGCATTAGGCGATGCAAAGCAGCTCACAGCAAAATCCAGCTCTGTGCATTTTATTCTTCTGAGAAACTCTTTTCAAAGTAAATCAAACTACAGGATTCATAATAAATTACAGTGATCAAATGTAAATTAAGCTACAACTCCTTCTGGAGAAAACTAATAGGCACAGCTAACCTGAAGAGAGACAATAGTATAAAATTCTACCCTGTAGTTGAGAAAACAAAAAATATCAAAGAACAGATTTTGAGGATTTATGCTCCCAGTGCTATTAGATAACCGCATACCCTTCTTAGCCCCGTGCTGAATGTAAAGCAAAGAGCGGGTTATCTGAGAGTAGAGATCAGACCACAACCCTGATCAGGACGGACAAGGTTCTAGTTTCTGAAACAGAGAGGATTTAAGAGCCATGCTTAAAGGGAACGGTTTCTACTTCAAGCTAATATAAAACGTTCAGATCAGTAAGAAGGGCGTCAGATCCAGTTTCCTCATGGGAAAACATTTTCAGTGGTAGGTTTGTCTTAAGTAAGAGAAACTAGGTAGAGAAATCTGTTGATCTCTTAAGTAATCTACACCCGGCAGAAAACCACCATGTAAACTGCAGTTCAAAGTGTTTTGAAGAAAATGAACAAAACTTTTTTAAACTTCTACCTATAAAAGTGATAAAAGAATAGCCACAGCTGCGACGTTCACACTTGCCTTTGTGATTCTACGTTCCATGCGTTCGTATAGAAGGTGAAGAAGAGGCAGCTGGGCTGATGGGTGCAGATGGTCCGACAGACAAAAGCATCCGGAGTGGTAACTCTACCCACATCCACGTCTGAAAACGCAAGATGCTGGAATATGTTCATGTGGCAACCTGTGGACTCATGGAAGGAAGACGGTGTCTATCAGTAAATGACGAGATACTCACCTGGCTTATACTCTGTCATCACTACTAAGGAGATGATGATTATAAAGGGATTTTGAAAAGCTAATGGAAAATGAAATTGAAGGTCATATTTATTTTGGTACAAAATTCTAAAGTCCATGCATAAGTTTTTTTCATAATACTCATTTTCCATGATCTTTTTTTCTTCATTAATGGTAGAGTACATGCATGCACATGAGAGAGAGAGAGAGCTGAGCACCCTACATATGGTCTTCTCCAACCACAATCTCCTTCCCACGGTTAAATGGATCTGGACACTCGCATATGTGACTGGCATGTTTCAGGATGACCGGGCCAGGGATTTGAACCTTAGTCACCATGTGGGATCCTGCTTCTCTTGAGCAGCATATTACCATGGCACCATGGCGTTGTGCCCGCCACAAAATTCTGAAGAAAGACCCTTTCTATTTATTTTTCACAGTACTAGACATCCTATGTAAAAATGTCTTTTAAAATATCTCCAAATTTGTTCTTTGCCATTTGAAGAAGGCAAATTTTTCCTAACATTGATAAGGATGGATTTTTATGGCAGAGAAATAAAATAGCTTCATCTACTTTCCAAGCTCATCTTCCACTGGTAAAAATATTTTGTTACTTAACATGTGTTCACAGTTTCTTTCTATTACCCTAACCCTGAATTGCAGGTCTTAGGAACATAGAGTTTTAAGTCATATTTTCCTGAATATTATTAAAAAATAATTTAATAATCAGGACCAGCAGTTAGCGTAATAGCTATGTCACTGAACTCCCTTGTAGTTGATCACGGTTCAAGTCCTGGACCCAGTGGCTTAAACTCATGCCAGGTGCATGTGCATGTGTTCCCAAGATCCCAAGAGGAGAATTGGAGGAGAAAGGAGTGCGGCGTGGCCATCCCCCCTGGGGGGTGACTTCTTGCTTTCTGTCTCTCTGTCTCTCTCTGTCTCTCTGGCGAGCGCACATGCCTTGTAGCAAAAACCTCTCAAAAAAATTTAATAATAAAGAGATACAAAAATACTAGATATATAACAAAAATGCTTTATGTCAAATAAAATTTAAAAAGATAAAACCCTTTTATTATTGATATTTAATCTTCTTAATTCTATTTTTATTTGTGTTTATATTATTTGCTCAGTTTACTCAATTCGATCACCCATAAATTCTATTAAAATTATAGAAGCTTAAAAAATAATAATAGCAATTATGGAAAGGACAAAAGCAGTCATGATTTAAAACAACATATTGGCTCAAGGGAAAGCCCTTTCCATACTATGTTAATATAGATAGCATAGAAAATTAGACTCAACTAACAAAATGTTTTCCTAAAATTTTAGAAATACAGACTTTTGAAGCTAGACAGGAATTGATGAGCCACCTACGTCCACCTGTAAGTGCCTCCTCACAAGGACGTCCATACCAGGCTGTTCCACAGCTTTCACTTAGACGTTTACAGTGACAATGAGCTCATGACCTCAGTTTCTTTTCTAGACTACTCTAGAGGTTAGGATTTTTTTTTTTAATGTTCATCACAGTAAGTTCATACTGCAATTATGGTTTAAAAAAAAAAAAATCAGCATCCTAGGAGCCACTAAAGGAGCCCAACAGAGTTGAAGCTACCAAAGCCCCTTCCAGATAATCATTATTATTTGACTTGCCTGGAAGTTCCTGAGAAATCCCATTAACCAAGTTTGAAGTTATTTGATCTGACCATAGGGCTTACCAGCAAAATTACTAGCCTTTTCTTTGGGAATATTTCTTAAAAAGCAATTATAAAACATCACAGGGTCAGCCTGTGGTATGGTGGTTAAAGCAGCTGGATTCCACATGGTCAACTGTGTGGTTCAAATCCCAGACCTAGTGTCTGGAGAAACATGCCAAGTTCATGTGTACATGTGCTCAAAATCCTGAAAGGAGGGAGAGAAAAAAGGAATTGCAACAAGATCATCCGCCATGGAGCTGCTTTCTCGTTTTCCCTCTCTCTCCCTCTCTCTCTCTTTCTCTCTCTCTGTGTGTGTTTCTCTCCAGTGAGCACACATACCTTCTGGCAAACTTTAAAAAAAAAATCACAGAAATCTAACACAGTAATAACATCCGGTACAAACAAGAGGCCAATGAAAACTCTTAAAATGAAAACTTGAGGGACTTGTGAAAAGAGACGTCCACAGAAAAATTAGAAAATGTCTGACATATTCTAGGGACTCTAGAAGGGCACACCGATATCCAGGGCTGTGCCCATGACCATGAAAGACCTGGAAAACCCCTGAGTTCTCATTGCTGCCTGGTTTTGAGTTCTGTGCTCTCTGAACTCAGTGCCACCAGAAGTGAAGACTGAGCAAAAGTCGGAAAGTGCCTTCCTGAGTTCAGTGCTCAGGAAGGACACATTCCCACAGAACCCTTTGTTAGGAACTGTGAAAAGTCTGAAAATGCATTGGTTATGGGCATTTAAGAAAATAGCTATAGAGACTTTAGTGATGGTACACAACAAAGAATACATATTTTATAGATTTATGTGCAGAAAGTCACTAAACAGACAAGAGCAACAAAAACAGTAATAAGAGAAGGAAATATGATATTCAGAAGTTGCTATATTCTATTATTTAAAGGGTCTACTTGTTTACAAAAATATTGCACCACATAAAAAAAAAAAGTATGGTTGAAATTAAATAACATACTTCTAGGGAATCAGCAGTTAGCGTAATGGCTATGTGGCTGGACTCCCACGTAGTCGACCGCGGTTCGCGTCCCGGACCTGGTGGCTTAAAACCCACGCCGGGCACGTGTGCATGCGTGTGCAAGATCCCGAGAGGAGAATGGAGGAGAAGGGATTGCGGCGTGGCCATCCCCTCTGGGGGTGATTTCTCGCTTCCTGTCTCTCTGTCTCTCTCTGTCTGTCTGGCAAGCGCACGCGCCCTATAGTGAAAAACCTCAAAAAAATAATAAATAAATAAATGAATAAAAATAACATACTTCTATACAAAAATAGCTCGATGAAGAAATCACAGAAAATTAGAGAATACCTTGTAATCAATAAAATTCAAACCACAGCATAATAAAACTTATAGTGTGCAGCTAAAGCAGTGCCTAAAGAAAAATTTATAACTCTTAATACCTGTGTTTAGAAAAAAAAAAGAACTTTTTAAAAATACACTCCACCTTAAACTATAAAATGAAGAGCAAACCAAAAGTAAGCAAAAGAAAGAAAAAACTATAAAAATTAGACTGAAAAGAGGCTCTTGCACTGCTTTAGCTGCAACCTATAAATTTTGTATCGTATGTTTTGATTTTTATTGATTGCAAGGTATTTTCTAATTTTCTGTGGTTTCTTCACTGGGCTTCATGGAATGAGGTGAAGATGTTCTCTCTTCTTCTATTTCTTAGAAAAGTTGGTGAGTAACTATTACACATTCTTTGAATGTTTGAGATAATTTAGTGGTGAAGACACCTGGGCCGAGGCTGATTTTGTGCAAAATTTGCGACTACTGATTCGAATTTGTACTGATTCAAATCAGAACCTTAATAAATCAAGGTACTGATTCATTACCTCGATACAAATCTAGTTAAAGAAAGTTACAAGTATTTTTATTTACCAAAATAAAGCCTCTTATGAATATTGACTCAAAGGCTCGATTAGATGTTACCAAACAAGATTTAGCAACAGAAGGAATTATACTCCATGGCCAAGTAGAAGCTATTTCAGGAATATGAGGTTTTTCTGACATAAGAATCAGCCAGTGTAATATTAGTTGAATATCATCAGCAGCATGATGAGAGTCATCTATGGAGAACCCATAGTTGACATCAGACTTAGTGGTGAAGGACTAGAGGCTTTTTCCTAAAATCAGGAATAAGACAAAAATGTTTATTCTCAACACTTCTAATCAACATTGTACTGGAGATTCTAAGTGGATGATTATAAGAGAAAATAAAATTAAAGACATTTCAGATTAGAAAGAAAGAAATAAAATCATCTCTATTCACAATTGACATGATCTTGTATATAGAAAATCCTAAGGGGTCTACAAATATCTGTGAGAGCTAATAAACAAGTTCAGTAAGATTACAGGGCCACAAGATCAATATATAAAAATCAATTTTATTTCTATACATAGGCAATGAAAAACCCTAAAATGAAATTAAGAAAATAATTCATTTACAGTAGCAGCACAAGGGATAAAATATTTGAGTATATTTAATATAATAAAAAAATACAAAATTCCTATACAGAAAACTACAAAGTATCATTGAAAGAAATTAAAGATCTAAATACATAGAAAGCCACCCCATGTTTATGGACCAGAAAATTTAATATTGTTAAGATGGCAAAACTTTCCAAATTGATCTATAGATCCAATGTACCTCCTATCAAAATCCTAGCTGCCTTTCTTTATTTTTTTTTGCAGAAATGAACAAATATTCTAAAATTCATAAAGAAATGCAAAACATCCAGAATAACTAAATAGATCTTGAAAAAGAACAAAATTAGAGGACCCAGGGTGATTTTAAAGATTACTACAAAGTTTATTGTGTGTAACTGCATAAAGATAGACATATGAATCTATGAAATAATAATAATACTGTTTGTCCAGAAACAAATTCTTACCTTTATGAACAACTGATTTTTCAAAAAGAGTTCCAAGACATTTCAAGGAGCAAAGGATAACCTTTTCAACAAATGATGTTGGAACAAATGACTATCCAAACACAAAAGAACTAAGTTGTATGCTTAGCTCGCTCCATGTACAAAAATGAACTTAAAATGCATCAAAAGTGTAACTGTAAGAGCTAAAACTATAAAACTAAGAACAAAAGATAGGCATAAATCTTCTAACTATAGGTTAGAGTTTTTTTGTATACTGCACCAAAACCACAAGTAAAAGAAATTCAAGCTTAAAAGTGTACTATAAAGAAAGTGAAAAGGTGACCCACAGACTTAGACAAAGTTTGCAAAAAAT